AAAGGGGGGATTTTTTTTTTTTTTTTTTTTTTTTTTTTTTGTTTCCACAGCTCCTGTCTGGAAGATAAGATGCCACTTAATATCACATTGTAATTGAGGCAGTGATTATAGTGATGCTCCACTGTATTTCAAATTCTAATGAAGAATATCTGATAAATGAGAATGTGATCAGTAAACTTTATTTTTTACACTGAAATACTTAAGAATTTATCAGAAAATATGCAGCTGATTTAAAAATTGTGTTAACTTTAACATACATTGCCTTAATACATAGATTATCCTTCTCTATTTTTCCAGAAAATCAACAAGGTCTACCTTAATATGAGTGCATGAGAGAGCATGTGCTTTAACTTTTGTGGACTTTTTTTTTGTTAAGATTAGTATTAAAGCTGTATTTCTATTTATTGAAATTGCTTGCATTTAACCCCTGGGTACTGGGATTTCCCAACATGCACTAAAGTAAGTACATAGTGGTGGGAAATTCTGGACCCAGCTGATACCTCAAGGACAAATTCATTTGATCTAAATTGCCTTGAGAAGAATTATGACTGTCTAGATTTTGCAGACTGTATGCAAAGCAGAAGGGGTTTTCCTACATCCTTGCAGCGCTACACTGTGCATGCTGCTTGAATATCTCATTCTAAATATGTATCTTCAGGAACACAGTGGCTGCCCCAGGTCCATGCTGTGATATTTGTAGCATATGGCTGGAGTGCTGTCTGCTGAACTAATATTCTCAAACTAGTTTTATGTAGTGCTTAACATTTTCTAATAAATTCTTTTGACTAAGCTGGAAGTAGTCTCTCTGGTTTGTCACATGGGTTAATTTAAACAAGTAAGTTTCCCTCCCTAATTTATTTCCAGAGGGATTCTACAATTCTGCTGTGTAAGTATGTAAAACTAAAGAACAGAAGCTGTGCTGTTCTGGGTACTCTTATCTGCAGTAGATGCAAGGTAGATCACAGAAACTTAGTCTTCTTCCACTGGGGGCATTTCATTTGGTCTCCCTCAATGAAAGAGGGCTAAGTTGGAAGAGCTTTTTCACTGCTTTAGCTAACACTGTGATTTTAAAACAAACTTATCCATTTAAACCAAAATAAGCAGAACCCTGTTCTTCATGCATCTTTTTATCATTTCTTGGGTTAAAAATTACCTATCCTGCCAAGGCTCCTGACTCATGTATACAGTATTGGTTCAGATATTTTACACACATTTCCAGTAAAAAATGAAGCTTAGACTCCTCCAGTATTGGAAGCTCCTATTTCTGATTAGCTTTCAGGAAGAAATTACTTGACACATTACAGTAAGATTTTTTATGGGTCTCTAAATTAATTTTTCCATCTTGATTAGAATTTCACAGCATTAATGTTATTTCCTTTTGCATCCAAGTACACACAGATGTGTTGAGAATTTTGTGCTGAAATGCTTTACACAAAGCCCACTTATTGAACTATTGCAGAACCAAGTTAAGCTGGTCCTGTCTGGAGATGATCCTGATTCAAGGAGAAATGATCCTTTTGGTGGTATAAATATCCATGTGAGGCTTCACATGGATCAAAGGCGTATCTCCCCTAATTTTGTTTTCTGCAGCTAGAAATACAAGCTAAGGCCTTAGAAAAAGTTGGAAAGAAGACTGGATGAGTGACTGACTGCAATACATGAGCAACCTTCACTTACAACAGAATCAACCTCCCTCCCTCCCTCCCCACTACCAAGGACTGCTGTTACAAAACTTGAGTTTGAGAGATCCTAACCACCGGCAGCAGTGCCATGAAGTTAGTGTCCACCTTGATTCCTTAGTCTTGGACAGGCTTGAGCATGGTTCAAGTTTTATGTTTAAGTGACAGCACCATTTTTTTTTCTGTCCTAACAGAAGAGAGGTAAGGATTTCTGTGATCTTTTACTGCAACAACTATAGTGGGGAAAACTTGGACAAGCTTTTAGGCATCCAGGACCCTTTCTCAGTCTTAACTCTACAGTTGGTCCAACAAAAGATCACTGGAACCCTTGCCTCAGCCATTTCCTAGACCATCATGACTATGTTCCAACCTCCTACAAACATGGAAGCTATTTTAGCCTTAGTAGAGTGGACCTTCTGGTACCAAAATTTTGGTCTAGCAAGAAAGCCTCAAATACAGCTGTTCACCCTCTGGAGTGTTTTCTTGCCTTGTAGATCTGGATTGCTGGTTCAGAACTTCAGAGATGTATTCAAAGATCTTGTCCCAGGAGAGAATAACACGACTGTGCAAGTCAGGGGTGGGCAAAATGCAGCCTGCCAGGGCATTCTATCTGGCCCACGGGCCCCCTAAAAAAAATTTTGGAAAATTCATATTTATCTTCCCCAGGCTGCCTGTCATGTAGCCCTCGAGGGCTTGCCAAAACTCAGTAAGCAGCCCTCCGCCCAAAATAATTGCCCACCCGTGGTGTAAGTTCAGAGTCTGGTTGTCCCATGTGAATGTAAACTGGGTCCTGCCCAGGCCAGAACAGCAGAGCACATGGGACTAAGGGCAGTTGCTACTTCTCCCCATGTTCCCAGAGCTCTGGGAGTGTGCTGCCCTCCTCCTTTGCTCCCTGCCCACCCAGCTCTTTCCTGATGAATGACCTGAATGATTTAAAACAAGTATGATTTATTGACTTACAGATATTTACCTTTTATATTTTGATGTAGTTTTATAAAGCTTTTAACAGTATATTCTCATTACTAAATTGTACCCCAGGTATTTTTAGTATTCACCAAGGCTGGTGGTTTTAGTGCACTGATCATGGTGATGTGGAGATGTTTGGGCAAGCTTTGCAGTTAGCTGTTGCTTAGGTCACATTCTGTCTGATCATTGAAGTTTGCTTTTAATGGACTTGTTTGAAAGAAGGGAATGAGTTGAAAATGTCTTTCAAGTTGTGACCCTCTACAGATATAGATTATAATTGATGGTAGTTGGTTTGGTAAAAGACATTCCCCTAACAAATCCCCACTCTCACATTCCCTGGATCATCACAGGTGCAGTAATCATACTAGAGGCAGGGTGGAAGACTGCTGGAAAAACAGGCAGACCTACAAAGTGCATCCTGTTTGGCCCCTGGACATTGCTAGGGACAGGACCCTATCCTGCAGCTCAAGAAGCCACTTCAGCCTCTAATTTCATTGTAGGCTGGAAATTCTGCTTTAATAATGCAAGCAGCTGCTAGTTGTTAATTGCAGAGCACAACTTCCTCTGTCCATTTTGAAGGATGAGGCCACCATACTAATTGATAAACCCCTCTCTCAAGATGTCATCAGTTGTTTCAAAAGCTAAATCTTGGGTCTCCCATCATGTCAGCTGTAACACCAGTAAGTGCTGATTGCAGGTGTCACCTTTTTTAGATTCTCACTTTTTAGGGCAAGCTGGCATGCAGGTGCTGGCAGCAGCTGCTTTAGCAATAAATATGAAACAAATTACATAAATCAGTGCTTTAGAGCAACCTATGCATGAAAACAGTAAAGCAGCTCACTGATATAGGATAGCCATGCAGTTCTTATGGGAGACAGTATTGCAATACAGTGGAATGTACTGTAAATAGCAGGGAGATAAGAATTTCATTACAATTGATGCAAATTAGGCAACAAAACCTGGCACATTCGGCAGTAAGCGTGGGCTGCATGAAGAGAAGGTAAACGTGGTTCATATTTTACAACCAATGCAGGTCTCAGAGCCTTAAATATCAAGGGTATAATTTAAACATGAACTTCACTTCCATAAGTAACCAAATGCAAATACTAAATGAGAGCAACTAGTGCAAAAGATTGTCAACATAAATTCATTAATTATGAGGAGTAAACAGTCCAGATCAGACTGGAGCCCAGCAGAGAGCCTCAAGGAACACAGCAGGAGCTCAGAGCGTGGACTGAAAGTTTGACAACTTGTGTCATTAGTCCTGAAGTGTTGCAGAAATAGGACCTAAAGCATGGAGTAAGTGAAGGAAATAGAAACAGCAGATAAAAACAGACTCTCAGACATCTGAAGCCATGTGTCTTCTGAACAGAGCAGAACTGTTATCTGCATACTAGAGCAGCTGATCAGAAGCATCCAACCTAGATCATTAAGTGTGATGTAAATAGTTTTAAATATCAGCAGGGACTAGTAATGAGGCACCCTTATGCAGTCATCCAAATAATGGCAATAGGTCTGGAAGATGGCATAGAATCAGAGAAGTAGGGTTGGAAGGGACCTTGTAG